ATACTAAGTTGGTGAAGAGATGTAAACATTGAAGATAACTTAAGATGAAATTGAGATGGAATTGAAAAACTCAATAACCTAATTAGAAAACTCAGGAGGGAAGCCTTGTAATTATAATGGATCAAGATCTGAGGATAGAGTAGAGGAATTAGATCATTCAAGGAAATAATAAAAAAATTTAAAAACATACAAAAGGAGCCAGACAGTCATGACTTATACCTTTAATCCCAGCACTTGGGAGGCAGAGGCACAGGTAGGCAGATCTCTGTGAGTTCGAGGCCAGCCTGGTATATGGAGCGAATTCCAGGACAGGCTCCAAAGCTACACAGAGAAACCCTGTCTCAAAAAAACAAAACCAAAACAACAACAACAAATCGAACCAAAGAACTGTGAACACCATGAGACGACCAGATCTTTGAATTAAAGGAACAAATACACAAGAATCCCAGGTTAATGACATAAACTAGATCTTCAACAAGATCATAGAAGAAAAATTCCCTAATAAGAAAAGACAGATACAAGGAACACACATAACACCAAATAGACAAGACCAGAGAAGAAACTTCCAGGACATACTATAGTCAAAGTACTTAATACTTAGAACAGGGATGGGTACTGAAGGCATTAAGGGAAAAACAACAGTATAACAACTGATTTCTCAATGGAAACTTTAAAAACCAGAAAAGCCTGGGGCAATGCACTTAACCTACTGCCAGTCTAGACTCTTAGACCCAGCAAAACAATCTGCCATAGTTGAAGGATGAAGAAATAGGCTAAAGGGACGGACTCACGTACACTAAACTAGACATACAGAGAATACTGGAAGCAATACTTTATACTGAAGAGAGGAATCAGCATAGCTGAGACTATAAAAAGAAAACAAATGAAGCAATAATTACTGAAACACAGTATATAACTAAGAACACAAACAGAAAAAAAACGTGGCAGCAATCAACATATACCTTTTATTTATTTAAAGCTACACAGAGAAACCCTGACTTGAAAAACTAAAAGATTAGGGAAAGTATTACAAAATAGGAACAGAAGGAACACTTTCAAACTCCTTCTAAGAAGCCAGTGTCACTCCAAAATCAAAACCAGTAAAGACAGCTGGACGTTGGTGGCGTGTGCCTTTTTCCCAGCACTCGGGAGGCTGAAGCAAGTGGATCTCTGTGAGTTCCAGGCCAGCCTGGTCTACAGAGTGAGTTCCAGGACAGGCTCCAAAGCAATACAGAGAAACTCTGTCTCAAAAAAACAGTAAAGACGCAACAAAAAAGGATAACTACAGACCAATATCCCTCATGAACACAGATGCAAAACCCTCCATAAAATACCAGTAAACATAATATAGGTATATAACAAGAAGATCATGAATAAGTTGGCTTTATCCCAGAGAGTCAGGGATGACTCAGCATACAGAAGCTAATAAATACCAGGACTACTCTCCCAGCGTCTGAAAGAAGTATGTAAGGCACCAAGGGAGAAAAGCAACCAATAGTCCTACTTAACTGCAACACCCACGGCCACAATGACTAGAATGGCATGATATTCCCAAAGGTACAATGGTGGTGCTTATATTCTGGGGTTAACCAACCCATTCGACTTACGTCCTGCTCAATAATAGGAAATTCATATCTGGTATGTTTTCTAACGATTTATTATTTATAATTCATGTGCATTGGTGTTGGACTCACACGTATGTCTATGTGAGGATGTCAGACTTCCTGGAACTGGAATTACAGACAGTTGCAGCTGCCATGTAGGTGAGGGGAACTGAACCCAGGGCATCTGGAAGAGCAGCCAGTGCTCTTAACTGCTGAGCCATCTCTCCAAACTCCTATGCCTGGTATTGCAAATGGAGCCCAGTCCCCATGCCCAGTGAAGCCATTGATTCTACTTCCTTCAACCAGTATAATTTCTAACTGTACTCTAAATTCTTATTTTTATGCCCATAGATAAGCAGGTCTCATCCCTCATTAAAAAACGAAAACAAAAAACCATTTTTATGCAGCAGATTTGGTCAAAATACAGAGAACAGCTGACTATTGGGTTCCTAACCTCAATACATCTACAATACAACTCCTATATCTAAGGCTCAGGGGAGCATCTTAGAAAAGGGGGCAGAAAGAGTGTAAGAGCCAGAGGACCAGGAAGTCTTCTTTGAGATGGTGCCTTCACTGTATGACAGGGGGTGGAACTCATGAAATCTCAACAAATATGGTTGCCTAAACAAGACCTGAAAATGATGCCAGCTTACTTGCCAGTATGGATGGGGGGGGGGAGCTCACAGGGCTCCACCCCCAGATAAAGAGCTACAGGCAATTATTAGTTGCTGAGAGAGAGAAACTCTCTTCTCTAGGAATAATGTGCTCCCTGATAATCCTATTCAACATTAAATGAACACCCCCCCCCCGTGTGAGTGTATGTGTGTGTGTGTGTGTGTGTGTGTGTGTGTGTAACAATAATAATTAAAAATAAGAGGCTGTGAATTTCAGGAGTGGGGTGATGAAGGGAGAAGAGGAAGGTAAATTATGTAAATGCAGCATTCACATGAAATTCTTAAAAACATAAAAAAGGAGACACAAGAGTCACTTGGCCTGGGACTGATTGGAGTTTCTCTGTCTGAAAAATAAATAATGTCATCAAACTGGCTACAGTAGGCATTGAGAGACAAACTATGTGTAAGAGGGCAAAATGCCTGGCCTACAGTAGGCTGTTAAAATACTAGCTGCTAGTGATATTACTATTGTTGTTTACAACAATTAATATGGTCCCAACAGAGCATGTGAGTTAGCTGGGGTTCTATTGCTGTGATAAAACATATGACCAAGAGCAGCTTGGGAAGGAAAGGGTTTATTGGCTTATACGCCCTGGTCACTGTCCACTGACAGAAGTCAAGGCAGGAAGTGAAACAGAGCAAGAGTCTGGAGACAGGAACTAAAGCAGAGGCCAGGAGGATGCTGCTTACAGGCTTGCTCAGTTTGCTTTCTTAATACTCAAGGACAACCTCCCCAGGGATGGCACTGCCCAGTGGGCTGCGCCCTTCCACATCAATCAACTAAGAAAGTTCCCACAGGCTCAGACCACTTTTACAGAGGAATGCTCTCAATGGAGGTTCCCTTTTATCAAATAATCTTAGCTTGTTTCAAGTTAATGGCAAACAAACAAAAACCACTAAGCAAAACTATCTAGCCAACCAATCAGGACAGTATGTGTCTGAAAATGATTACAACATACATTCTAAAGCCAGGTATGGTAGTGCATGCCTACAATTCCAAGTGAAGAAACAGGGGTTATTTCCAGTGATACATGTAGTTCTAGGCTAGCCTGGGCTACAGAAGATCCTGTGTCAAAAACAAGCCAACAACAAAAATTCCAAGGGTACTTATGTGGTGCATATAAAATCTTATCCTTGAGGGAAACAAGCTTGTTAAACCGTTTCTAAATAAAGAGGGTTTCTTTTAACACCAGTAACAGGTTCTAAAGTAAATATACTTTCATATCTTAAAATGGTCTCAGCTTTTCTTAAAAACCTGTTAGGCATATGCAACATGCTGGTGGTAAGAAAGGGATGCTTAGAAATGATACTAAAACACTGACCCAGGCTAAAATACTGACCCAGACTTCAACCGCAGTTTTGAACCTTGACTAACAGGAGAACAATGGAAAAGATGACGTTAAGCACAGTGTGATACTGTGAAAAGGACTAAGTCACCTATGTCCAAATCCAGGCAGTATAACTTATCAGATGTGTAACCTCGACACTTCTATTTCCCCAGCTATAAAGTAGGGAAAACAGCAACACCTGTCCTACAGCTACTATGATGTCTAATCAGCAAATTTAAAGACGGCAGCAGCTATTGTTATTATTGCCATTATTAAAAGACAATGAGGACAAGAAGTCATGGATCACTTCTGTTCTAACATGTTCTTTCAAGAGATGGCCCGTAGCTACACAGTGTGCTCAGTTCTAACAGTTAGGGCATAGACAGAAGCCTCCTGATGTCCAAAGGGTTCAGGGAGGCTCACCAAAGACATGGCCAGACCGATGAAGAGAGGATGAGTTTGCCCCTAGGTTTCCTTTAAATACCTGTGGCATCAGGTGTTCAGTTCACGAGGATCGGAAGAAACAGGGTCACTCCAGGATGATTTTTGGCCTTTGCAGCCTTTCTGGTGAACTGATTGAATGTAGCTTTGCAAAAAACTTTTTATTGTTACACAATTTACACCTTAACAAGTCAATTTCCACATCCCAAAACCTCTTATCTGACTCTCCCCAAAGAGACAAACGCCCAAGCAGTTCCCAGTCACAGGCACCTCACTTTTCTGAGTCCTCCCTCAACCAAGTTTTTCATAGGCTTTCAACCTTTAAGAAACTCCCAGATAAGATTCATATACTCCAAACAGGAGGTAGCCCATACACAAGGTAGCAGTCACAAAAAGCAGAGCAAGGCCCAGGTGCTAACACACCTGGAATCAAGCCAAGCGCAAAGCTCTTCGGGAACTCCCACTACAAATACCACTGGGAACAGCCGGCAGAGGCCGGAAGACTGAACCACAAGACCTAAACGAGAAACTAGTGGCGATATCCCTTTTCTCTGCTTCACTCTCAGGTGGCATGGTGCTTAATTAACTTTTTTCTTGGTGATTTTTTTTTATCGAAAAGCTGTACACTCTGAGCTTACTGTAATCATTGATTCAGCACTGTCTTCTACCCCAGAGGAGTCAGAATACATTTTAACCTCACCAACTTAGGTCCAGCTAGATCCCCTTTCCCCAACTTGAGGTATCCAATTTTCACCATCCCAAGAAGCTGGCAGCTTTATGTAATAAGCTGCATTTCTCTGCAATCCTGCACAGAGTAGGACTAAAGTTAATTTAAGGAGGAGGGACCCAGACGACTTGAGGATTCTGAACTTTGCAAGGGGAACAAGTTGTGTCTTTTGGGCTGATTCGCCCGTGACGTATTCCAACTATGAGCAACGAGAATACTGTTGTAGGCATGGGGACACGTAGCTTCTGTGTGCTGTCTCATCAGACAACAGACAGCAATAAACACACACCAATAACCACACACTGCGGAACGGCAAGACTACGATGATTTGAAGTGGAAGAGACAGACAGACAGAGACAGAGAGACAGAGACACAGACACACAGAGAGAGACAGAGACAGAGAGAGAGACAAAGAAAGTGCAACAGGTAAGGCTCCCGGGTCCAGCTCACCTTTCAGGAGCCAGGTAGACGTGGCAGCTGAAACAGAGGCTTTCGCATCGCCTACCCCTAAGCCCTGCAATACTGCCTGGGTGGCTAGGGAGCCGGAGAGGCTGGAAGCAAAGGCCTGGAGAGAAAAGGAGTGGAGTGAGGCGTGGTCGCAGGAGCAGGGGGCCTACTGTACCATACCAGCTCTCCGCAGTGGTGTGACCTGGAAAACGGTCAGGACTCTGCGGTGCACCCCAGCCTTCCATGTGCAAACGTGGACCGCAACGGCCGGTTCCCTTGGTCCCCAGCTATTAGGCGCCCCTCACCCCCACCCCCTCGGCAGTCGGCCGGCCACACCTGCACGGAATCCCACAGTTGGTAGGGCAGGTAGTCCGGGCTGACGCTGTCTGGGAAGCCCTGAGGCAGCAGCACGGCTCTGAGGCCCGAAAGAGCGGGCAGCGCTGCCCAGGGACCCCCGCCTGCACCCGCGTCCTGCCCGGGTTTCGCGGTCGGGGCCCCGGAGAGCCAGCCCCAGCGCCGAGCCCCGTCCCACTGCAGACTCCCGTCGGCGGCAGCGCGGCAGCCGCGCGGGGCTCGGGAACCAAACTGTTCCGTGCACAGCTGCACTCGCAAGCTTGCAGAGTCAGCCATGCCCAGGAGTAGCGGGTCCGTCCAAGTCCAACGCGGCAAAAAACAAGAGGAACTACATTTCCTGGTCGGCTACGGCGGCCGCAGAGGAGCAATCATCTTCCTTTACAGTCTTGGAAATCAGACTGTTGTAAATTCCAACAACTGGGAGAGGGAACGATGCCTTCCTGGCAAAGTAGTTGTGATCAAGACCCCATTCCGATCTCAAATTTTTGGCTATATAAGTTTGAAAAGTATCCTTCTCTGGGTCCCAGGTGCCTTTTTACCCCTGTGGCGCTAGGGACAATATAGCTTTTGAAATTTTTAAAATTAGCTAGTGACTTAGTGAGCTTCATTATGGCATCTTATACATACTTTCTTCCTATTGTTTCTCTTTCACCACTCGCCTCCCCTGTTCCCTTGCCTGACTCCTTACTGGATAGACACCTACCCCCCCCCACACACACACATGTTGCTTTTTTGTCACATGGTTTTCGTCTTCTACTCTCCTGAAGATCCCCTCTTCCCTCTTCATGGTTCCATTTCTAACTTCATGACCTATAGCTCCTCCCACACATACACACATATAGAAGTTCAGATCTAGGAATTGCATATGAGAAAAAATTGAGTAAATTTGTCTTTCTGAAACAGTCTTAAACTCATTTTCCTGCAAATGTCATGATTTCACTTTTCTTTATGGCTGAATAAAATTCCACTGTTATTCCACACTTAGTTACCCATTTGTGTACTAACAGAGACCCAAGCCGATTCCATTTCTTAGCTGTTGTGAATACTGCCTCAATAAACACAGATGTACAGGTATTTCTTTGGTAGGCCACAGTCCTTTGGTGTATACCTACAAGTAGCAAAGCTGTAATCATGTGGTGGTTCTATTGTTTGTTTCTTATGCTTTTAATAGCAGCTGCAACAGTTTACATTCTCACTAGCAGCATATAAGAGTTCTTTGCCAACGTTTGTTGTTATTTTGTTACTGGGGAAACTGAGATTCCCATGGAAACTTCTTAATCTCTTTAATTAAAAGAATTTAGAGGCTGAGAGATAGCTTAGTGGTTAAATACATGCAGTTCTTCCAGAAGGCTAGGGTTTGGTTCCCACACTCATGTCAGCTCACAAACTACCTGTGACTCCAACTTCAGGAGCTCAGATACCCTCTTTCTTGACTCCACAAGATGTGCACTTACACACACACACACACACACAGAGAGAGCGAGCGAGAGAGAGAGAGACAGAGACAGAGACAGAGAGACAGAGACAGAGACAGAGAGAGGGGGGAGTAATACAATCTTTTAATAAAAGAATTTATTTAGAAATGGAATGAACAGGAATCTTGAGGATAGTTTTATTAATTTAAGAGGAACAGGTTGAACAGAAATCCTGGCAACCACTAGGAGGAGCAATGGAGAAAACTCATGTCTTTTAAGTTAGGCATGGAATAGAAGTAGATAGCTTGTTATGAAAGAGTAAAGGGCTCTCCAAGAATGGAAGGGTAGAACTGAGGAGAGAGCCCAAATAGATTCAGCCAAGCACTGTTTGGTCATGTAGGGCTGTCATGTAATAGCCCCCCTAAACATGTAGGGTGATACAAATAGTCCCTCTGACCATTGTCCATCCCTACCCCTAGAGAGCACACTCTCCACAAAGGTCTCTTTGGCCATTGTCCACTCTCATCCCTTATTATTATGCATTAAACTCCATCTTCTACACCACACTGTGTCTCACCTGAATTCACTCAATAGAGAACACCAGGACTGGGCACTGAGGGGGAAAACAGAGTAAGATCCAGTAACAATGTCATCTCTGCCAGGTCTCTGTGTCCTTTGCTACCTTAATCTTGATTCAGACCATTTCTGCCCAACTCTGCATGCAGATATATTAATCATTAAGAACCACTTTGTCTAGAACAAGGTTGATTTGACTTAAACTGCTTCTCTTCCCTTCAGGGCTGAAGACATCAAGATTAAGAGTAACTCAACCAGCTACAGCCACTGGAGTGGCCCCAGGAAAGCACCAGCCATCGGGGTTTTGTTTTTAAAATCTCCTCAGCTATTAGCGCTTTCTTGTTTGCTGCTTGGCTTTCCTCTCTATAAAGCCCTTCCCCACCCAGATGGTTTTCATTGGCTTTAGCCACTTTGTTTCCTTGGCTCCCTAACACTGTGAGGAGATCCTCTGTCCTTCAGTTCTCCAGATTAGAGTGTTATTTCCAAAAGGCCTCTAAGGATCCTGGGGAGTGAGAACTTCCAGCTGTTGCAGGAACAGTTCCAGAAAACAGCATAAGTACAGGGAAGTTCTTGTGTGTTTCATAGCAGGGCTGCTCCATGGAGTTAGGAGGAGAATCTAAGCCACAAGGTTTCTCTCCCTCCAAACTCACCCCTTTCCTTTCTCCTCTTTCTCTTTCCCACCAACTTTAGGGACCTAGCCCTAAAGTAGGAATTTGCCAAAAGCATCTCCTTTTTCTCTTTAAATCAGAAAATAAAGTATCATTGTTCCTTTGCCTGGCATTCTTGGATGGTCACCCCGCCCCCAACCGTACTCCGTTTGACCCCGATAACAACTCCATTCTGGAAACTTCTGATTCTCAAGGGCTTCTGGCTTCATCATAAACTGTGGCTAGGAGCACCCTGCCAGCCCATGCCTCTGTATCTGACCCCACACAGAGTCTGTCTAAGGTTGAGATAAACACTAGCACTTCTGTGAAAAATTGAGTTCCCAGGAAGAATGAGAAAGTCAAAGGTTGCTCAACACTGTGCTATATTCTTTATGCTAGCTTCTGTGAATAAACCAAACCCTGAAGACACTTTCCATGAATGAATTCACCCAAGGGCCTTACTTGGAAGACATATTTGTAACTGTGAGATCTTGGGAAAGTTACTTGTTTCTCCGGCATTCAGTTTTTCCATCTAAAAAATGGAAACAATACAGACAGGGTCAGGGTGAGGGCTAAACAGATTATATGTGTAGGGGTCTAAGTCAGATTTGGCTAATGGTATACACTATTTTACTTTTACTTACTTATTTTTTATTTATTTGTGTATGTGTATGAGAGAGATATACATATACACCATGGTGTGCATATGGACATCAAAAGGCAACTTGTGGCAATCATTTCTCTCCTTCCACAATGTGGGTCCCAGGCATTGAACTCAGGTCATCAGTCTTGGCAGCAAGTACCAGTGAGCCATCTTGCCAGCCTAGGACATAACTATTTAGATGTTACAAATGATTTGGAGATAGTGATTCAAAGATTCCTTCGCTCTGCTGCGGCAAAGACATAATGTCATTTTTCTTTATAGTTGCAAAGCTCCATTATGTATATATTCTACATTTTCTGAAGGGATTTTTATAATAAATACTTGCTTGAAAAAATGCCTGGCATAAAAGAATACATAAAATGGCAAAAGAGAAGAAAAGTAGCATAAACTTCTTTTTTGAGAACAAGGTTTTGTTTGGATATAGCCTAGTACTGGCCTTTAACTTGATTCTCCTTCCTCTGCCTCCTGAGTGGGGGATGGTAGTCTGGCTTCTAAACTGCTATGAATATGGGAGCTGTAGACGGAGAAACAAATGTCATTGTGTGTAACACAAAAGTACCCATAACGTAATGGGGTCCAGTAAATGTTTGTTTCCTTAAAATATAGAGACTGGTTTGGGGTTGTAGGGAATAGGGCAAGCATGTGTTCCTGGTTTGTTTCTTGCTGTTTTCTGTCTTCATTTATCTATTTTTTTTCTTGGTGTCTCTATCTTTCTAACTCCAGGGAAGCCTCACCACCCACCTTCCCCGCCCCAAGATGACCTATCATACTCCTTCAGGACCTCCAAGCAGGGCGTTTCCGACTTAAGCTAACCCTGGACTCTGCCTACATCTAGCTTGGTGCAGAGGACACACCAACCCTGAAGAGTGTGGGCGGGCAAGCTCAGCACCATTGGATTTGAAGGTAAGCCCACATGGGTAGAAGTGTGACTTCCAACAGAGCAGGACTGAAAAGGTTCCGGAAAGGAGGCTTCCCGCTCCTTCCTCGGGGATGTTTGAGGGCACGTAAGGGGTGAGAGAACTGGGAGGATACTCGGGTGTGAAAGAAAAGGTGACATTTTACCTCTTTCTTTAACTGACAGATGGCCCCTTTTCAGACCAATGAGGAGCTGATTTCTACAGGAATAAAGCAATTTAATGTTCTGCTGGATCAGCAGGTAAGCTGGCGCAGTTTGTTTTAAAGGACAGAGATGGACAGAGTGTGTGTTGGGAGGGTAGAGAAAGTTCATTTGAAACTACAAGGGCAATGGTGACATTGGTCCAAATGTCTAGAAACAGGGAATGCAAACTCAAGAAAAGAGGATGTGAGCGTTTATAAGACCATCCTGGCACTCCACATTGCTAAGCACATTCTCCCTTGCTAATCTCTCTCTTCTACCCCCACCCCCAGGTCTTTAGTGACCCCCTTATCCCTGAAGAAGGCATGGTGACTGTGGTGGATGACTGGGTGAACTTGTACATCAACTATTACAAGCCGCTCGTGCTTGGGGGGCAGCAGGAACAAGACAAGACTCTGCAAGAACTCCAGCAAGAGCTGAAGACTTTGGGCAGCCAGTTTTTGACCAAATATAGGACCTTTCTGAAGTCCAGAGATCACCCAAACAGTGAACCACCTTCCTCATAGCCTAAAGGCTCACAGCATCACATCTAAGAACCCTGAAGTTCTTAGTCTCTGGGTTATGTCTTCGGGCTGTTGTCCCACGGCCTTTTTGTACCTTGACATCTCAATAAAGGCCGATACTAATTCGTTGACTCCTGTCTCTTTTTCCCATCGCTCCTGGATGGGGGCTCATTTGATCACTTTTTCCTCACTAAGCAATTTTTAAAAAATGATTTTAAAGGTTTAATTTAGTGCAATAGATCTTGGTAGCTTTAAGGAAACACTGGATAATGTTGGAGTAGGGTGTAGTTGTGTGTTCAGCCAGCCAGGGGCCACAGAGAAAGCCCTGAGTGAGGAAGGTAGCAGAAGAAAGAAAAGCAAATAGGAGTCTTCTGTAAACCACTGTTTCCAGACTTGTTTGTGCAGCAGAGCCTCTGCCTCATCTTTCCTCTGGTATTTCCATCTCTCTTAGCTCCATCTTGACAATATTTTAGGATCTTCAGTTACGAGGCAGCCCTGAGGACCTCAGAGGTGCAGCGTAGTCATTTACAGTTGGATAGGATGTTGGGAACCATTTGGCACATCCTTTATATATCAGGTGGGATATCCTTACCTTTGGCTCTACCATCACACAGTGTAGGTTCCAGGCCCCAGAAATAGAGACAGAAGCAGTCAGCTTTCCAACTGCATTAGCTGTTTCATGGACTAGGGACTTTTTTTTTTTTAGCTCCAGGCTTTTTACTTTAGGAAGTTTGGGTGCATACAGAGCCAGGCTAGGGAAAAAATTTCAAGAACATAGTTCAGTCTTCCATGAAAGCCTGACCACACAAAGGATGGAGGCAGCAGCAGGGTGAGAGGAAGAGTGTTTTCATGTCGTTCTTCATGGTTCCTTTCCAGTGGGAAAATTTGGGAGGAGTAAGGTGCATCTGTGAAGCTCAGTTTGAGAGTGGAGGGAGGGAGGGAGGAAGGGGAGGGAGGGAGGGAGACATGGAGGACACACGAGGGTGGGGTTACATCTGGTTCAGAGTAACAGTGAACCAGCACAGTGTGCCAGCAACTTGGAGGGCACCCCCAACTTACTGGGAGTGGCAGCTTTCCAGGGAAGCAGGATACATGCCCTTCTGAGGACAGCTAGTTCTGATGGTGGCTGGAGACTTTTCCATGGACCCCCTTGGAAAATCTCAGGCTGTTAATGGGAGTCTGGTGCCTTTGCAGAGGACAAAACACCGCTTGACTCCTGGGTTGGGACTTGGAGTAGAGTATAGGTGGGTGCAGGAGTCACTGGGGAGCCAGATAAGGAAGTTACTTATTTACAATGTTACTGAGCACACAATGTACGTGCAAAGACTAGTCAGGAGCCAGTTGGCCGTAATGCATGAAGATAATCTTTCTGTAAGTCTTGGGATGCTATTTAACCTCTCCTCGAGCATTCAGACCAGGGAAGACAATAAATGAGTATAGGTATGTCTAGTAAGGTGAACAATGTAGCACCAACTGTTCCTTAAACTATGAAATTGAGAAGGTACCTTTTAGTGGTGTCCAAGTTCTTACATTCTTATTCCATGTGTTTAGTCATAAGTCTACCTAGAAGAACATCTAGAATGCTTTGAGCTTTGTATCACAGGTGGTGGAATCTCTAATAGTCCAAAACAATAAAATGAATACAAATAAAGTTACTGACTTACTGTGTGCCTTGAATCCATTGCTTAAGAAAAACGAAGCAAACTTTAGCTGGAAGGAGGTGAGATGAAGCCACAGTCCCACCTTATCTACACCCGGAACCAACCCTCACCAAGGGCTGGCTCCGAACTTGAACCACACCTTCAGCTCTGATACCACGCCCCACCCGACTTCCCTGTGCCCATGGCAGACACCTTGCCCTCACTCACTGTGTCCCCAGATTGCACACAGACTTTATTCACACTAATCTTGAGGATGAAGTTGCTCTGACTAGTGGCATGATTCTAACCTTGAACCTGGCTCTCTCTTTTTTTTTCAGACTTTTATAAAATCTTTATAAGCTTTGTGAAAATTTTACATAAAAATTTTACTTGAAAAAAGTTGTATATTACTCTTATAGTCAAATTTCCCCATAGGGTTCAAGCAGGTTCCTTCCTTAAAGGTTATGGTATAACATTCGAATTAAGGGTTTTTTCAAAGAGCTATCTAGATTTTAAGTATGAAAGCAAGCAATATAATTGTTGTATCTATTTGAAAATGACACATATAGTGAGTATATCACAGCTGGTACAGGACTGCCCACGTTTGGTTGTGAGCACAAAAGCAATGCAGAAAACAGTCTTCTCCGAAAAGCAATTCTAGATGCTGTGACTTCGTCCTAACACTAGTTCAGACAGTGAGCAACCAATGCTCAGTCAACCAGCAGAACACTGACGAACTCAAATTTGCTTTGGCTTTTAAAATATCACCAGTAAAGGTCAGAGAACAGCTGCCAGGTCAAGGAGGGCATCTCATCTCCAATCCCATGTGACTGTTGGCTGGATGTCCCCCCCACCCCAATAAAAAGACCCCGTATGACGAGACTTCAGAATGTGAAGCCCATTCCTCCTCTGGCTCCTCTGCTGTAACCTGGCAGCCTTGACCTGCCAACCCTCCGCAGCTGCTTCTGACAGAACTTCCCTCCCTGGGATGATAAGAAGGACAGGTGGCAATAGGTGACTGGGGTGCTAGGAAGGTTGACAAAAATGCTTTTAAACGACAGTCCCAGAAAAGACTAAAGACATCCTTGACAAGGGCAAAGGCTTCTTCTGATTTTCTTGGATTTCTTGTCACTGCACATGACCTCCTCCAAACACCCCCACTCCAGGAGCACTGCTCCCTAGTGTCCTGGAGACTTCAGGGTGGACTTCCCAGGGACAACTGTTCCGTTGACATCAACTAAGACTGTAAATGTCAAAGGAGCTCCTCATCGCCACTGGCCTCTAGGCCGCCTGTCTGCCCGCTGCTCTTCCCTCCTTGGTTGGCTCCCGGCTGTGTCTCAATGCATTTGAAAGCGGTATTTTCCCCGTATTTATTCAAACACTTTTAGAATCAACAGTATGGCAAACAAGTATATGTTATGGTACAAATTTATCTCCTGAAGCACCATGGTCATTTTCATTATCACTATCATCATTGTCATCTTCATTATCATGAAGGCAGCTTGGTAGCCCTGAGCTCTAGGGGGGCCCTCAGCCCTGTCATGTTCTAGTTTGCTGTCACTCCCTTACCCAACTCCTCCCACTAATCTTGGCTGAAAGGGGGTGGAGTCTAGGAGTGCAAGTCCAAAAGAGAGGGGACACTTTAAAATTCTAATTAATTAACTTTTATTTATTTTGTTGCCAATAGACATCTAATTCCAGAAAAATGAATTAAGTAAATATCAGAACAGTAGCAATGAGAAGAAGGGAGGAATCGTAGCTATCTTGGTTGGTCTCCTTTCCTCTACTCTGATCTTAGGTCTTCGTGTATTTTTAATTGATTTATTTGACATTTTAAAAGATTAAAGTACAGTTTCCCTGAGGACTTTCCACGCCTTGGTGCAGACTTGGGGTCCCCCTAGATGTTTCTCACTGTCTCTCTCCTTTCACTTCTGGTCTACCTCCTCTGCCTTGTGTCACCTGCTGACCCTCAGAAACATTTCTACCAGGGACCCCCCTCGTCCACACCAGGCTGGGACACAGGTAGCAATTTTTGCTATCATTCCTGTCCTCCATTCCAGTCCCTCCAGGCTTGTTCTTAGTCCTGCAGAGTCCCTCATTCCCCCTTGCCTCCATTCTCTGTGATTCCTCACCTTGGTGTCAACCTCAGAGACACTCTAGCTCCTTCCCAATGCCCCTCTAAGTCATGTGGGCTGACCCACAGAAACACTGTTGGGACCCCACAACCATTGCACTTGCTTAGGATCCAAAGCAGTCAGCTGGAACCAAGGAACAGAACACCCACCCAACAAAGATAAAGCCAGATATCTGCACCAAGAAATACTTCAAACGTCATAACCCCAGATGGCTATATTCCAATGCAAAAAACCAAACGTGAACACCAAAGACAACATGCCTCCTCCATAAGCCAGTCATCCTATTAAAATGGGCCCTGGAGCTCAGGGCTACCAAGCTGCCTTCATGATAATGAAGATGACAATGATGATAGTGATAATGAAAATGACCATGGTGCTTCAGGAGATTATTTTGTACCATAATATATACTTGTTTGTCATACTGTTGATTCTAAAAGTGTTTGAATAAATACGGGGAAAACGCAAGATGAATGGCAATTGTGGATATGCTCACACACCTTAAAGAGGTTATGAGTAAGTGCATTAAAGACTGTAAAAACACAGTGAATGAAATAATGAAAGTAGTTCGAGACATGAAAGTAGAGTTTAACAAAGAAACAGAATTACTAAAGAAAATACAAACTGAAAAAAAACTGTAAATGAAAAACTTAGGATGTTAAACAAAAACTTCAGAGGCAACAGATTAAAAACATGGGGAAGAGAATCTTAGGTCTTAGAGATAGGTAGAAGAGAAAGAAGGTAATGATGCACATCTTTAATCCCAGCTTAGGGAGGCACAGGCATGCAGATCTCTGTGAGTTCAAGGCTAGCCTGGTCTACAGAGCTAGTTCCAGTACTGCTAGGACTGTTAACAGTTATACAGAGAAAACCTGTCTTGGGAGAGAGAGAGAATGTAGAAGAAATGGATAGCTCAACCAAAAAAAAAATGATAAATCTAAAAGCAAATAAAATAAATAAATAAATCCAGGCACAAAACATCCAAGAAATCTGGGACACCAATAAAGCAATCAGGTATAGTTACTTTAACATCTGACAAAATAGACTTTGAACCAAAATCCAGCAAGAGGATATTTCCGTGCTAAACATTTATACATCAAACACCAGGGCACCCAAGTTAAAAACAACAAAACCTATGACAACAGCTAGAATCAAATACTGACTCTCACACAGTGACAGTGGGTAGTGGTTTCAATAAGAATGGCCCCCAGAGGCTCATATAGTTGAATACTTAGCCAGCAGGGGTGTGTAGAATTCTTGGAGACAAGATTAGAAGGATTAGGGGGTGTGGCCTTGGAGGAGGAAGTGTGTCTCTATGGTCAGGCTTTGAGGTTTCAGGCCCAGCCTCACA